ACAACGTAGCTGCCTACCAACTTACCTCCCAAGGGCGCACATGACAATTTTATTACCATCCTTAGTAGCATATTTGCTAAATACAAATTTTACTTGAACTTTATTCAAACTTTTGCTAGAACTTCAGTGAAATATTACTCGAATCATATTCAAATCATATTCTAACCTCAATTAAATTTTATAATTCTCGATTTAGGAATGAAAGTGTGAAAGATTTATAATCTATATGCTATTTAATCATTTTTAGACTTAATTATTGAATATCTAGGCATTTTTATTGCAAAAATAAAAGTATAATTTAATGGAGAATAATAAAAAAAATATATATATTTCATATTTATAATTGATAAACTATAACATGCCCATGGCATATGGGGTCGTACTTTTTTATGATGTAATATATCTCTTATTTATGTCATATCATGTTTATGATCCCATGCTTATGTTTTTGCTTAATATTGTGATTGCATTTTGTTTTTGATTATATAGAGAAGGGTATTCCATAAATAAAACTTTGATATATCATCAAATGATTATTTTAATCATTCACGAATCTTGGAGCATTTTGAACAATAAATATTATTGATTCAATTTCAAGATCATCCAGAGCCTCGATTCCAGCAAGCATATAGTCAAACTGGCCGTCTCAATAAAGCTGGCCCAATGAAGCCAAAATTGGTTTGATCCGAGCCTGCAAGCATAGATTAAGCTGTTTAATTGCAATTGGAGGATTTGCATGGACAATTGAATGCTCAAATGAATTCCAAATCTAACAAACTTATAGTCAAATTGAGCGTGACGTTAAGCAGATTCCAAAAAGCCTATGATCACTTCATGACATCATTAAGACACAAATGCTAATAAAACACCATTCAATCAAAGTGATCGTTATGGGTTGTCCGAATGAGTAGTCCGAATTCATGCAGTATTTATGAAGATGCCATTCCCAAAATCTATAAGTGGAGCTCCTCTCCCTTTATGAAAGGAAACTTGGGACTTGGATCGAAGGAGAAAACTGAAGGAGCTTCAAGCTCTTGAGCGTTCTTGAGCTCCAGCAACGTCAAAGCACCGCCGACCAGTCGTCGCCACAACCGGACCAATGCTGCTTGGTCGTCATCATTGAGCAGCCGCCATCGTTGAACCATCATCCTTGCTACCCAACCACTGTCGATCGACCATTGTCATCGTCAGACCACCACTGGCTGACTGTCACCATCATCGAACCACTGCAACCCTCGTCATCCCAGATTGTTACTTGGCCACCACCGTCATATCGCTGTCACCGCCAAACCACCGCTTCCTGGCCATCACCAATGTTGGACCGCCATTGCCTGATCGCCATCATTGAGTTGTCGTCATCATCGGACCACCATGCCACTTCTCTTCCATCACCGTATGGTCATCGCTATTGAATGCACTGACAATAGATTTTCTAGCACACTGATATTAAATATCTCTTAGGGTATATTTGAGGCAACTACAGCTATTTGAAGAATTTGACGTAGAAGAAACTGTTATTCAAAAAGCTGTGATAATTATTACAATTTTATTTTTTTTATTTTCAAAAAGTCAGATCATAACTTTCTGACAGTTACCACACTTAACTAATTGATAATTCAATGACAGTTTAAAAGAGCGAATAAATAGCCAAAAGAAAATCAAAGCCAAACTTGTAGCATTGCATCACAAAAAAGAAAATTAAATCCTTATATTAAAAAAAGTCAACTTCTAATACAATTTTTTTAGGAGAAGAAGAAAAAAAATGACAAAAAATTAGAATTAAAATATAGCTAACAAAAATCGAAAAGTATAAAATTGAGCAAATAATAATTGCATTTGCAGAAGGCTGAATATCGTTTATTTTGCTATCAAAATACCTCTCGCTTATTTAGGGCCCTTTTGAGGCAGATTATAAGTGCGGGCGGCGTTTTGAAAACGTCATCATACCGTTTGATTAACGCGTTTAAACAAATTATGAAAATACGGCGTTGAGATGCTTCCTTCTTTTCTATGTTGATATTTTGTATTCTTAGTCGTGATATTCAAAATTCAGAAGATCCATCTAATTGAATTTTTAAATAAATTTTGAATAGAGAGCTTCAAGAATTAAATTAAGCATCATCAAGCTTCTAATTTTAGTAAAATTATTATTATTATTTTTTTTTGGGATTTTACATACTTAACACTTAAAACTTAATAACATATATCATACACTAACCTTTTTTTGATTTTTTTTTTTTTTTTATATTTCATAACCCAAACTTCTCTATTTACAAAATATACTTTTTCTAACTTCTATTAAGGGTTTCCATCTTCAACATGTTCTCGAGTTTAAGTGGCGGGATTGTCCGAGGGAAGTAGAGGCCAGAAGACAGAGGTCAAGAGAAAAAAAAGATGAGCCCCTTGGTTTTGGAGTCGAGGGCAGTGCCGACGGCGTGCAAACTATAGAAGTTTGTGTGTGAAATATGTTAATAGGTAAATTTTTAGTGCTATGCATGTAAAAATCCTTTTTTTTTTTAACACGCACACCAAATGCATGCACCCTGCATATGCAAGGCGGTGAACCCAAAACTTATTCGTTGAAAGACAAAGCTCCAAACCACTCTGCGAAGGTGGCTTGCATTTTGATTCTAGAAAATAAACTCAAAATCATGAATTTGAAATGTGAATAAAAAATTTGGGACACAAATTGAAAGGTCAAACGATCGATCAATCTTATATGCTCATACTCAAAGCGAGTTTCATTCTAATAAGAGAAATCCAACGAACCCAACAACACTAATTTCCTAGATCATCAAGATATTTGATTACTAAAAGAATAATTCATGATCAAATGAATCAACACAAGCAATTTGATCGAGCTTTTTTATAATTGTAACACTCTATAAATACGATTATCAAAGTTCGCTCTTCCCACAAATTTAAAATTTTATAACATAAATTACAATAATCACAAACGATAAATTTCAAAAAGTAATCCTTTCTTTTGTTTTACTTCCTTTCACTATTTGTATGTAGGGGTGCAAACGAGCCGAACAAGAGCGAGCCCAGGCTCAGCTCGTGTTCAACCCATTTATATTTCGAGCTCAGAAAGTGTGTTCGTGTTCGACTCGTTTGCTTAATGAGCCGAACACAAGCTGTTCACGAACATAGAGTCATTTTGACAACCCTAATACAACCCTAATCACGTAGTCAAAAAATGTTAAGGATTGAGGCAAGATTTAAAACATCATTTTAATTTAATTTAATAATATTTATTCTATTTTCTTCATTAATAATGTTAATTGATTATAAATCTTTGTAGCATTGTAGTCAATTAAGTTTTTTAGAAAATACTACTCATATATGAACGAACAAATAATTATTCGTGTTATTCGTGTTCGGCTCGTTAACTTTGCGAACGAGCCGAACACGGGCTTCTTTTCGAGCCGAGCACGAGCTGTTCGCGAACAACGAGCCGTTTTGACAGCCCTAATTTCATAGCCCTATTTGCATGATTTGACCCTGTGATTACTTCTAAAAATAAGTATAGAACAAGCACAAGCCCGTACAGAATGTACATGCTCAAGATAGATAATTATTAATCTTTCACACTAAAAACTAATACAATTGTCGTTAATTTGAAAAATCAGAGATGATTTTCTTTAGACTGAAAGCCTAAACAACTAATTTCTCTTATAAAAATGCCAAATGTATGGCGAAAATTTTTCTGTGCGGACCACTGATGTAGCTTTACTTGTGGGCAAAGTTATTTTTGAGTTTTTTTCAATAATACTGAAATAACCCAGAAATAATCCAAAAAATAAAGACCTCAGATTATTTTTGGGTTATTTCAGGATCATTGAAAATAACTCAAAAATAACTTGAAAATAACTCAGGAATAACCTACGACGCACGTAGAACTACGTCAAGAGTCCGGACAGAAAATGTGCTCAACGTAAAGGATTATGTCAAGAGCGCCAGCACCACATTGCTTGATGTGCAAGTTATAAATTTAAAATGTCTAATTTTAGGGGATCATAGAATATTAAATAATAATCAGGCTAGGAAAAAGGATTATGAAATACAATCTAATTGAAAATTTTACAAAAATATCACACAATTCTTGTGCATTTGCATATCTAATAACAAAAATTTTGATATTTACATTCATTAACACCCTGGTTTTAAAAACTTATGCATAAAAATGTGTAATTCACTTTAAAAATGTTTGGCGATATTTTTAATATAATGCAAAGATTTGAGCTTTATGTACATAATATGAAAGTTTCAGTCTTAGACATGTAAATATATAAGAATTATGTGGTATTTATGTAAATGCGCCTACGTGATATTGCTTGGTAATGGTCATTTATATAATAAACTTTACATGGCAACATATCCTTGCCAATTATAGCGGCCAAAAGCTCAATGATTAATGTAAATTCATAGAAATTGGGTGGTATGTATGTAAATGTCCCTAAAAATAAAATCTATTACTTTAAAAATCACAAAATAAGCTTTTTTCTAGGGACATTTACAGACATACCACACAATTCTCATGTATTTACATATCTTAAACACCAAAATATTCATCATATTTACATACATCTCACTTAAATCTTTGAAATCACATAAAAAAAAATACTACTATCACTATCATTTTAAAAGTGAAATATAGGCTTATGACACCCCAATGTTATAAGTGTAAATATCAAAATTTGGGTGTTAGATTTGCAAATAGACAAGAATTGTGTGGTATGCATGTAAATCTGCCTTTCTCTTTCATCTATGGAAAACTCTCACAGGCAAAAAAAGCCAGGCATGTCAAAGACCTATAGATCTTTCAGGCTGAATAGTCATCAAAGGAAAATTTTATATTTGTATGCAAACTCTTATGAAAATAGACCTTTTTTGAACTTACATGAAAGAAAAAGATGAAGTTGAAACAAATTTGCAATAATCCACCATGTCTTTCATGTTGTATCCCTGCCCAAACTGCAAAACCTGGACCCACTTAATTTGATTTATGCAATTATCTTATTTTCCCTAAACAATCATGTAGCAATTTCATCTTGTTCTGTATATGATAATTTCTATGTAAACTTGAAACATCACTGTTTACAAATCATAATCCAATTATAGTGGGGAAGCACGAAGCAAGATGAGAAGAAGTCCATGATTCCAAGCTATTTTTAAATATGATTGTGGGTGAGGTGTCTATAAGTCTCTTTCTTCTCTAAAAGACAAACGAAGGCTCTGCTAAAGGGCAAAAGGGTTAAGAAAACCACAAACAATACTACAAAGAGTCAAAATCATCAAATGATGCAAAAACAGTTGATCTAGTGGCTCCTGAAAGTTCTCATTGGCAGATTCAGTTCTTGTTTGAAAATGCAAAATATTAGTTTTATGGGTACCAAGAAGAAAGTTCAAGTGCTGCACCTGGTTTTGATCATTTTGGAGACTGTCGGGGGCTTTAGCTCGAACTACCTTGATGCTTGCAGTTAGCATGGTGCACCACTTCGCTGAATTGGAAACTAAGGAGAAGTTACAAAAGGAAGATTTACATATATACCACTCAATTCCCAGCATTTACATATCAACACCTAAACTTCAATTTTTACATGCATACCATCTTCCGTATACGTGAAAAGGCATATTTCACATTTTAAAAGTTAAAATATTGGTAGCTTTGGTGTGTTACGAAAGATTGGGATGGTATAAATGTAAAAAACAGAATATAGATGTTGGATATGTAAATAAATAGGAACTGGTTGGTATGTATGTAAATGTCCCTAAAAGAAAATATCAAAAGAAGGCGAGTAATGCAGCTCATCAAAGGTGGAAGAAATAATGGATATAGCATGTTTATCAAACTATAACATGACATATTAAGTGGCAGATATCAGGTGACAGTTTATTTTTAAATTAATTTTTTCATATTTAGTTATTGTAACTTTGACCTAGACTCTTATTTCAAAGTACCAAGGAATAGATTGGGCGAACAAAATATGACCAGTGAATTTGATTGGATTCTGCTTGTCATTTCTTCTAGTAAAATTCTATCCGACACGGCTTTGACGGCTAAAATATTGATTTTAAGCTTCAAATGTAAGACATATTCATGCCTCAATTCTATCATCATGAGAGGGCAAATGAAATGCCTTAATTTATCAAATACATTGTTTCCATTATTTAATACACTTTAAGAAATAATAATTAACAAAGTAACTACCTTTTCTGTTAATGCAACATCAGACTACCCAACTTCACACTTTGATTCAATATATAGTACATGTGATTCATTGACTATGAGTTTTCTAACTAGTTTTTTAAAATCAGGGCCATTTGGGATCACTTTTTACTTATATTTTGATTTGAAATAAAACATGTTTAGATAATTGTTTCTAAAAACACTTAAAACATCTAATATTTATTTTGAATGTTTTTAAACAAGTTAATTTACTTCTAAAATTTTAAAAAAAAATAAATAACATATAAAAATGCATTAAAAAACATGTTTTTAAAAACAAAAACAAAAAATGAAAAAAGATCCTACATAAGCCCTATTTAATATTTTTTCAAGATAACACTGAACAACTTTTCTTGGTGTTGTGAACCTTAATTAAGACTCGATATTAGTCACTAAAATAAATGCAATTTCATCAAGATATTAGATCTCAAATTTCGTGCCTTAGGTGCATATTTTAGAACTGTCTCATCATTCATCATTTACAATGTAAATGCTCAAAAATATTACATTCTGATATTACAAAAGAAGAGCGCAAGAAACTATCCCCTGCAATCGGATTGGTATAGAATGAAAACATAAATGGTTAATAAACTACTCTTTAACAGACAGATAGTCATTCCAATAAATAAACAATATAAGGGATGCACATCAGTTAAATGCATAAAACCAGAAAAATACTCATTTCTTTAAGTGGATAACACAAAAGACCTTGCACATCTGCAATTTTTCTCCGGCTTTCATAGCCTCCTTCCCTAACATCCACTGCATTATTCTTCAAAAATTTTGACCAAAAAAAAAACAAAAACAAAACAAATCATCCATGCAATGGGCCCATAAAATGTTTCTCATATAATATGTTATTCAAAGAAAAAAATTCAAGATGATCATGAAAACACGAGGAATGGTAAAAATAAAAAACGCATCGAAAGAATTTTATCTTTCACCATCCTGTTCCAGACAGCTGCATCACATTACTCAAATGCACATACCACTTAATAACATTGGTAGCATGACTTGATAATTTCCTTTCTATCAGTTTTTTCATTTCATCACCACATCGTTCAATTAATTTTATCAGGTTATAAAAAAACCTACAAAAACATGAGAAACTTCACGTCCATAAATCATGTGGCATAAATCATTCACCCTAATTTTAATTCTCAATGCTAAAACAATGGCACATGTTAAATTTAAGAGGGATTTTTAAAATGCAATTTGTATTTAGAAATTCATTAGTCACGCGCTAAACTGAATCAATAACATGAGCATTTCAGTACTTCTAACACGTTAAAATTGGTAAAACAAAAATTAATAGCCCAAAGGGAACAAAGGTTAGATTCGTGTAGCAGAATACCTTAGACTATCATGACGAACCAACAATGGGCTTCTGGAATTTGCCATGAACCCAGACCCTCTTCATCTTCTTACCACTCCGATGATTCACAGAGAGCACACAACAGTATTCAAGCTCCAACTGAAAGCACAAAAAGCAAACATGGCTATCAACATAGGGCATGTTTGGGATCACTTTTATTTTTTGTTTTTTTTTTGTTTTTGCTTTTATTCTAAAATCATGTTTGTTTTACATTTTTTTTTTGGTATGTTTTTATCTTTTATTTTCAAAAATAAATTAGCTTGATTTTAAATGCACATAAAACATCTAAGAGTTATTTTGAGTATTTTTTTAAAACAACTAAACATGTTACAACTTACCAAATATATTTTCTTTCAAGTAAAAACATAAACAAAATAAAATAAGAATAAAAAATAAAAAGCAAAATCAAAAGTGTCCAATCACCGCTTAGCATCGTTGAGAGAACAATGCAGAAGATTAAGATCTAGCTAGAATTTGGTAGATCTAATTACATCTGATATGAATTCTACATTCTCTTTGAGCTGCATTAGTAGACCTTATGGAAATGCAAAAAAATGGTCAGCACGCACAAACAAAAGAGAACAGAAGTAGCAACTGCAAGTTAGTTGACTGCATTTAGTGAATCTTATAGATGGCGCGGTTTTATTGGAGTCCAGACGCAAAACTACGTTCGAACTCCGGATGCAATATTTTCTCCCCGTACAAGAAAACAGAAAGAGATAAGCACATTCTCTATTACTTTACCTATTTTTCATTAAAAAAGAAGAAAGAAAAGTTAATAAAGACAAGTATTTCACTCCTATGGATAAAATAAAGATAAAGATAAAATCAATAAGTACAGTGCAAAGATAAAGTAAAATCTTTGATATTAAATAATCTGCCATGTGGGCCGGTTGTCAACAACTACCTCGGTCGACCACTCGCCGCCAACGAGACCAACGTAAAAGGTCCAAAAAGACCGGTCCAAGCAAGGAAAGGACCCCTCACTACTCCCCTTTAAGAAGGGTAATAAAAATAATCTCTCTCCCTTCTTTCTCAATAAATAGAGAATCCCTTGCATGTAAAAATAGGATAGGGTCCCTTAGGCTCTCTCTCTCTCTCTCATGTAGGGAGCTTGCTCCCCTTCTCTCTCACATTGTAACCTCTCGTGTGGAATAAAAGGGGTCGTCAAGCACAAGGACCACCACTCTTTGCCCCTTGACGGGGCCTCTCTCTCCTTCTCTCCCCCTCTTTTTATTTTGGCTCTATTCCTTGAGCACTCCAAAGAACAGATTTGAATTCAACATCCTAAAAGGGGTAGGCCATGGAAAAGGAGCCAGCCACATGGAGAAGCATCCGGTCGGTCACCTCAATCGGCTAGCCAACCTCAATTGGCCTCTTAAGTCGGCCACGTAGAGAAGCACCCGGCCGGCCACCTGGGCTAGCCACCATGGTAGGCCAACCTCAATCGACCACTTGGGCTAGTCATATATAGCATTACCCAACTAGCCACCTTGGTTGGCCACCCTAGCCGGTTGGCCACCCTAGCCGGTTGGCCACCATGAGCAGGCCATAGTGAAGAAAGAGGGTCGGCCACTCCCATACAATCTGCCATGTGGGTCGGCTGTCAACGACTACCTAGGTCGACCACTTGACGCCGACGAGACCAACGGGAAAGCTCTGGAGAGACCGGTCCAAGCAAGGAAAGGACCCCACTGCTCCCCTTTAAGTAGGGGCATAAAAGTAATCTCTCTCCCCTCTCTTTCTCTATAAAAAGAAAACCCCTTGCATGTAAAAAGGGGTCCTTAGGCTCTCTCTCTCTCCCATTCATATAGGGAGCTTGCTCCCCTTCTCCCACAACTTGTAATATCTCCTGTGTGGAATAAAAAGGGCCACTGAGCCCGAGGACC